TTTTTTAGTTGTAAAAGAATGATTTCGTGCACTAAAGAAATGTGGTCAACAAGTGTTGAAGTTTGTTGTCTTTTACGAAGTTCGCTCTTCACTCGCGCCTTGAATTCCATCGGCCCGTAGACAAAGTATTTGCAAGGAAGTTCGATTCCGCCGCCACCCTAAACCCAAACTCCCTCAGGTGCTTCTCGCTTTTTATAGTTACCATGAACTTTGAGCCTGAACTACGTTACCGTTTTTACTGCATTTCCGTTCTAATAAAGTTTATTGCCGTTGTGTTTGAACTTGGTATTTTCGGCGCGATTAGTTTATTACGAATTTTTTAGCCAAACCCCTAATATTACTTGTTGCACATTCAAACATTTTTAAAACAAATTTCCCTCCCATAATAAGCCCAGCCAATTTTGAGACGCAAATTTCCCTCTTTTTATAACCCCTCCCAATTTAAGCCCCTTCCAAAAATAAGCCCCTCAAAAAGGTCCTTTGAAGAATATAAGCCCGGTGCTTATATTCCGTGAATTTTACGGTATTTTGTTTTTAGTTTGTGAAATACATCCTACGGTCTTATCCGTGCATCACATCGATCCCAGAAAAAGTACGCAAAGGACGAAACCATTAAAGTGTTCTTTGTGTGACCAAAAAAAAAATCTGTCGCGTTTATAAGTTCGTTTCTTAAAAAGTCGAGTCTGAAAAATGGAAAAAAGAAAAGAGAGAGAGAGAGAGAGACTTTCAAAACCGAAAGCACAGCAATCCCAATCAATGAAAATATCACAAGGTGCCAAGTTAACTTAACAGATATTAAACATCCAAGGACATACAGGCGGTAAAATGGAACTGATCGAGTTGAGAGAGGTTTAAAAGTCGCCTCCGATTGGTATATAGCTTTCGTCACCAACTTCACTATCTTTTCCGCGCATTACTCTTTATTTTTTTTTTCTTGGTCTAATACGTGCACTTACTGCCGCACTCTTTATTGCAGTACCGCAAAATCATCATTTCGTCTTCCCTGTAGAAAGTCATACTTCTGTACTCGTACCGACCCAAGCTAGTATACGACAATCCGTTTCCATTCGTAACCATACATACTCCATCGCCTTTGCAG